TATACAGAGAATAAGGGAGCAAGTGTGGTCTAAAGGTGCACCCATTTGGTATAAGCTACCTAACTCATCAGGATGAGTAATGGGATTTCTTTCATATTTAAGCTGCAAGAAAGAAGTGAGGAGCTGGTGCTGTGAAGAGACAGGAAAGGTGCAAGCACAGAAATCCTGGTGCAGGAGAAAGTGATTTTGAAATGGCAGTTTTATGGGAACTCAGAGTACTGGCTATGCCAAGCACCTAGACTGACTCCCTCTGGATAGATGGGCCTTTCTTTCTCAACCAGGCAATTATTGTCCTGGAATCATGGGTAGTCCCCAAGTTCAATAAGATTTATTGGTTTTACAGCACACTGAGCTGAGTAAGATGATGAGTTTCACAAACAGTTCCAAGAAAGGTTGTAAAATGTTCTGGGCAAATTTTAAATGTAAAATCTAATTGTACAAACAATGTAATAGGTAAGTCATGTGATCCATAGCCAGATACATATTACAATTTCATTTTAACCTGGAGAATTTACCTGTGTGAGAGAACCTTTAATTAAAAACATCGTCATTTACTGCTTTATTGCAGTGTACTAATGGTAAGGTTTTCATACCACACATGTGTCTGCCAAACGACACAAACCCCAACAGGATAATCAAGTAACTACAGCTCACAATATATGCATTATGGGGCATAGGTTTATTGAAATAATTGCAAAGAATCCTCTCTAAATCAGTGGCCTTGGATTAAAAAATGAAAAAAACCAACTTCCTTAAAATGTTTATTATTTTATCTTTTTACATGCTTCTAAGTATTTCAGTGTACACAGAGCATGTATTATTGCACATTTATATCCAATCCTATGAGCAAAAATCACAGTACATGTGCATGCTTATCTCCCACAAACACTATCCAGAGGTTGTAAAGAGTCTTGTATCCCTTGAGGGATGTTAAACATTAATAATAATTGGGATATGCAAACAAAGTCAGTGTCCTTATTGGATTTACACATGTGTAGCTGAAAGTAAATACTGAATGAAGTGAAGGCTTAAGAGACCTTAAAGAAAACCTGAATAAGTAGTTCTTCAAAACCGAGGAAAGTAGGTGAAAGCAGCCGGAAAGGTTTTCTGGCTTGTTTCTTCCTTCCCACCTCCCCCCCCCGCCCCGTCACCTGCATCCCTCCCCCGGCATGTGTGTAAGGGCACACACGTGGTGGTGAATTGAAGAGAAGTTTAAAGCATCTGGCTTGGCTTTTTGTGCGTTTGAGGGTTGTGAAAGTTTGCTATGGCCCCAGGTGCGAGGAGAGGGCACTGCGGGATGCGCAGTCACGGGCCGAGTCAGTCCTCCCAAAACTGTGCCCTGGAAGGTGCGGAGCACCCCCGGGGGAAGGCTGCGCAGGGCGGAGGGTGTGTGCCTTGTGAGGAGGCGTCTGCATGATATGGTGGTTAGTGGTATGTCAGGGAGCTATTCGGAGTGACAATTCATTAACGTCTAAATTAGATTAACGTATTACATTCATTATTTACGGGCAAAAGAGAGTAATGACAGTAAATGGTGAATTAGCAGCTTTGCTCCAATGTAAATATCTGTTGGAGTAAGAGCTTACACTGATTCTGACAACATGTTGGTAGAAAGTCAGGTCCATTAATCATCAGGGAAGGAAGGAGACCTGAGGCGATGTCTTACTGAAACCGTTTTTGCCTTTTACAGTGCAGCGTTCGAAAGCGGATCAAATCTGTGGGACATGGCACAAGGAAATAATTACGGGCAAAGCAGCAACGGGGTGGCTGATGAATCCCCAAACATGCTGGTGTACAGAAAGGTAAGCCTTCGTGTTTTTCAGAAGCTGAGGAAGGGACTTCAGGAAATGGTGAAGTCCTTGGACTCTCTTGCCTAGCAAGTGAGGCTGTTATTTTTGCTGTTTCTCTTCAGTTTGATGAATAGATGTTGCTGCTGTGCTTTGCATTGAATGAAGCAGTCTGATTTCCGAACACGATCACCTGCCACTAATTTGGGATGTTTTGTGTCTGTTCACATTTGTGCTGCCTAGTGCAGGTTAAATGGCATGTATAAAGTAGATCTCTATTCCAGGTACTACTAGTGACTCCTGTTTTGAGAAATGACTGAATCTGTTGTTTTGAATGGTAAAATACGCACATGTGTCAACTTTGCATCGTGTTCAGAAACAGTTGGTTTTCGATTTGAAATAATTGATGCATTTCGTTCGCTTTCTGCGTTAATACATACGATATGCGATGGTGGTGACGTGCCAGAGATGGGAATGTTTTTTGAGTTCAAGTGTTCACTTCTAAAATTCCATTTGTAAATTGAATTAATATATTTTAAAGCTAGATATTAACTGTATCATACAATATTTTGTATTTCTGTCTCTGGGCAAAGATTTTCAGAGTGCAGGGAAATCAGAATCATTAACTTAATCTATATGAAGGGGAAAAACTGATTAAAGATCTTATTTATCTGCAATTGCCACAACTTAAAAAAACCTAAACACATACACTCCAGGGATTCTCTCTGGGAATGATTTCTAATGTAGTTATTCTAATAGCATCAATATACAAATTTCCAGACATTGAACTCCAGTAGTGGAGCTTATTTAGCCACTGTGCTTTCATTTAAGTCACAGTAGATGCTTGGGGATTTTGAGATGTGTTTATATGTTTATTTTTTTATAAAGCTTTAATTGCATTTATCAAAAAAGAATGACAAAATAAATTCTAATAATAATGGAGAAAAATTGCTGTCGCAGTCTGAAATACATAATTATGCAACTACTTGTTTATGCCTAGAACGCAGTGCTTTCCAACTTGCTTGTGGTTGTTTTTATCAGGTGGAAAAAATCAATATTTTTACTTTGTTAGAGGCATTGACTTTTCCTTTTGCAAGTTAACTGTAATAGAAAGCATCTGATATGTACTCAGTTTAGTCCTTGAGGTGAACTGAGGTATCATCAGTAACTGTGGTGTTATTTTCCCAGAAATTAAAAAAACAGTCTCAAATTGAAGTCTGAGGCATGCGTACTTTCAAATATGTTTCTGATTTCAGTTAGTTGGTCATATGTGGTGTTTTGAAAGATTAGGCTCTTTTTACATAAGTTAATTAATCTATGAACTTAACCTTAGTTATCTATGTGAGAATACACATCTAGAAAAATGTGGGGTTACCTTGCCATTGACACAAAGGTGTTTTAAAATGTCATTGATTGTATGAATTTATATGTGAAAATATGCTGCATATATTAAAAGCAATATACCAACGCTTATGTTGTTCTTTATAGGCTTTTGATCTTTCTAAACAGAAACTTTCCACATTTGTCATGTACTTCCATGCTGAGAAAAGTCTTATTTAGTACGTGGAGGGGAACAGAGAAACCATTTCTCTTCTCCCATGGTTACTCCGCTTGCGGCCCATTATATTTAGTGTGACCTCATGCCAAAACATAACATTGCCCCTTAGCAGCCTCCAGATTGAAATGGGGCTGCTGAGATAAGTGACCAGAAACCTGGTGATGCAGGGGAAATTTGAAAATGGGGAGTAGAGATAGGACACAAAACCTCAGTTATATGCTTGGTGAATCAAAGTATCAAACACCTTTTCAGTTGTCTGCAAATCAGCAGTAAAGGGATGATACCAGTTTGTGTCTTCCAGTGTAGCAGTGGTCCTTCCCTAGCTGTCACTGAAGAGCAAGTGGTGCACTGATATTAACCTTCAGAAGAACGTTGACCTTCTACAGCATTACCTGCCATATTTAGCTTTGTATGTGTCAACTTATTTTTGTAGTACAATGAATCAAAAAATCATTTAAGACTGTGCACGCTGGTGTTGGAGTACAGAGAGAAAACTAAGTAGTCCTTCCTTTGGCAGTATTCAAGGAATAAGCAACAAAATAATAGATAACTTTCTTAAAAGTCACCTGCCTTTTTCTGCAGTATGATATTGCTGTAATCCAATGTGTTATCAATTCTGTGTCTAGAACATAAGAGGAGGATAGTTAGGTGGAGATAATTTCACTTCAGAATATATAATCTCTGAATATAATTCTTTAATAGCAACAACTAAATCACAGGATTCCTTGTAATACATTTGAAAACACAATACTTCTCTGTCTGTCTTTGTGTTGGAAATGAAAGCACTGTGCAGAGGGAACAAAGAATCAGATCTGCCAGCTTCATGAAGGACTTTTTTTTTTTTTTTTTTTTTGGCCAACTGGAAAAATATTAATAGTAGTTAGCCAATAGCACATTTACATATTTTTCTGACTTCAGAAGGAAAATGAATTTGAAGTCTTACATTTTGAGTAACGTTGATGAAATTCACAAATGGGGCAATGCTTTCTTCCAGTAGTTTATACAACATCAACACATGGAATAGCACACATTTTGTGATGTGTGTACCTGCAAGGAATAGATAGGACATCTGTTATTATTTGTGTTAATGAAGAACTAAAATTTGGCCATGCTGAGTGAAGACTGTTATTTTGGCTATAAAATACATTTATGTAATCTGGTCATTCTGCTAGTCTGTCTAACTTTTGGACACAATCTGAACTAAGTGTCTTCTAAACTACGTAAGGTTACAGCCCTGAGTTTCCTAAATCCTGATTCTGTCAGGAGCATTTATAGAAAATTTGATACAGAATGAAGTTCCAGTCTTCACAAATCCAGTATTTAAGGCATGAATTGTTATAGAATCATTAATGCACCTTAAGTAAATTGCAAACTCTTGACAAAAAGGGCTGTTTTTCTGTTTTTTAAAATGTATTTTGTTTGTGATTAGTTACTTATTTGAAGGGTTGAAGAAAGATGGATTATCAAATTGTAATTTAGAGTATATAAGGTGTAGATAGCCTGTTATTCTCATTGTAGCGTGTATTCATAGAGAAAGAAGGGTTTCACTATATTTTGCTTTCAGATATGAAATATGTTTTTAAAAAATTAGCATAGGATAATTAAATATTCAATGCATACACAAGTTAGAATTACTTATTTGAATCTGTGACGGAAAAGATAGAAGCACAGATAAATAGTTCCTTATATCATTTTTACACTGCCTTTTTAAAATGCTTGTGTCTGCTTTTATGCCTTGGGCAATACTTTTAATAGCATGCCAGCTTCATTATTCTTTTTGGCTATCAGCCTAATTATAAAGTAATGACATGTGACACATCATTGGTACTGACATACCTTAGAAAAAGTCCTGAATTCTTCTGCTAGTAGCCCAAGGCAAACATGAAAACTGTAAAGCCCCTGCTTTTACTTCTGCTCCAACAGAATCCGTTCCAGTGTGCAATTAAAAGTAATAAGATGCTAGAATCCTTAGTATTTTAACATCACAAGTTGCTCATAGAGAAATCTTGGGTTTCAACAACTCTAACTTACTGCTGCAAGCTAGGTCTTAAAGAAGAAATTTGAGATATAATATAAGGCCCACACTGTGCAGCTTTTCTAAGTTTCAGAGACTGACCTGTCTTTAAAAAAAAAAAAAAAAAAATTCTCATGCATGGCACAAATAATTTAAAGAATAAGAGTTGTCTTTGAGGAACTTCCATTTTAGACTTACTGCTGGTCCTTCTAAACCTTTGTTTACCTTTCTAGTCTGAGTTTTGCTTACATATTATTCAAACATATGCTGCAAGGATTAGGAGTTCTGATTTGTAAGTTTAATGGTTATCATATTGCTGTCTAAACTAGCTATATTTCAGACATAAGATTTGCTTAGTCTGCGAAGTAATATTCTTGTGACTGAGACTTTGATTGTCTACCTTCCTCACTGCCCCAAGTGTTAAAATAGCTTTTGCCAAAGCTGATTAGAATTGCTAACAGTTGGGGCCTTCAGTGCTGTAATAAAGATAATGTGGTGTTTCTTCTGTTCTTGTGACAATTGTTGAAGGTCATATATGTCAGTGCTCATGTATAGCAAGGGCTGAATTTATAATCTCAAGCTGCTACTTCGTTTATCGTGATCTGGTATTCTTCATAGAAACCATGCCTGCAAAGCGTGATACTTAGCAAATGTTGTTGTAAAGGAGCAATAGCTGTGCAGTGGCAACATTTGAGGAAATAGTGACCACCATCTTCTAATATGATTCTCATCTCCTAAACTTATACCAGACATGACTTTTAGTGTAGTGTGCAGATAATACTATGTTCTCATGTGACTTTTATCAACTGCTCTCTTAGAAAAGGTTGTAGGAAGAAAATGTTATTGCAGATAACTGTATTCCTTAGAGCCTGTGAGACCAAGGAAGCACATGGTAGGTGGGATTTTTTTTCTAAGAGTTGTCACTCTCTTTGATAAGGGAAGAATTAGTCTGATAGATTTCTGAATATGCCACTACAACCTATGGAGGCATCTTGCTCCTGGTGTAAACTACAGAGTTTGTAACTACCTTGCAAATGCCAGAGCACTCTTAAGATACTATAGAAAAATGGGTTTTGCTTTTTTTGGGATTATTAATTAAATTGCAGTATACCACTACATTATGCAGTTTCTTCCAAGAAGAGTGGTACTGTAGTGAGTCTTGGATACTGGTCTTGTTTTTATTCCAACATTCATCATTATAGAATTGACAGAGAAAGGTCTGCATATGTGGACCTTAGGAACTCCAGCTCTAGGAAGAACAAAATTTACCTCCCTATCCAGTGTGAAAGTTATGAGGATGTTAGTTCTGGAGCGGTTGGTTGATATTGAAGTAAGCTATCACAGAGGTACTATTTAGAGGACAGGAACTTAATACTGAAGGACAGAATAGTTGCTGGATGCTGTGGAGTGCCCTTCATGTGGTGACACTGCATGTTTCCCTGT